AATTTAATTGAAACCTTGATGGGTTGTCCCCTCCTGGATCAGCTTCTATGTGATAACTGCTGGCTGTATGTCATTAAATTTTGCTGAAATTTGTAATAACAGCTTTTGGAATTTATACACCGTCCCAAAAATATTATGGCTTTTGTTGGTTGTTTTACCAGTTTACTTATTAATTTGTCATTTTCTTGGTCTCTACTGCTGGGAACAAAAGATTCATGAAGTAAACTTTGACATCCCTCTGCCATCCGCTCATGTACTGCACTGGCAGGAACTATTTAGTGTGAGGAATTACTACAAGTTACTTTGTTTTAATTTGAAAAGGTGGATATATATTTCATTTTTTTTATTTTTTTTTACTTTATTTTGTACTGGTCTAGATTACTTGTTAGGCAAAGTTATTTCTTTGTTTGACAAGTTTACAATCTACTTAAAAAATAAATTTGTGAAATTTCTCCAAATTAAAAAAAAACCCATTGATGATTGTGTAGGAGGGTTCTGTTTGTGTGTAATTGAGAAGGGGGAGGGAGGTTATCCTTGCACTTGTACAGCTAATCTCTTGTCTTGTCTATGATGAAACATTGTACCCGGTACCTAGGTATTCAGGCTTTGATGTGTCTGCTGTCTGTGTTTTCTGTTACCTCCTTTGTCATTGTTGATGTGCTTACACATTGAAGTTGTTCCTTTGAAAATGAAATCTATTTTGAGGCCTTTTGATATTTATTGTGTTATCCGTTTTCTTTTACTTATTCCCATACCCTCCCCCCCCCTCAGACTTTGTCCTGTATTTTGTCAGGGAGAGGTTAAATGATGTGCCCATGTCTGTTGTAGAAGTAGAAATATTATCAACTAGCTACAGGTACCACATCCTAACTACTAGTAAAGGCCATTTCACTACCACCTACGTTACTTCGTAGCTGCCCCTGTAGACAAAGTGATTTGTTGGCATGGAAATGGAATGGCACAAATGCTAAGATCTTTTTCGTTTTACTCCTAGGCGTTGTAAGATTTCAGTTCCATGTTTTTCAGCTGTAACTTTTCCCCCTCACATCTATCACTACCACCAGCAGCAGCGTTTGTGGGGTAGCAGGAAGATGCTCACATGAGAGACCCCAGCTTGATGTATGAAAATTTCTATCAAGCATCTCTGGGTCTTTCTACTAGGATGTATCCATCTCAGCCTTGATTGGCTCTGACAGACAAGGTCAGAAGCCTGCCTCCTAAATAATCTAAATAGTGTTGATGGGGGTGTAAAAACATGTACATATAAAATTTTTAAAAAAAGAAATCACATCTACCGGGTTAAAATTTGGGGTATGTTTGTGTAAGTACGGTCTGAATGTACGAGGGCAGTCCCATGAAAAACCGGAAAAGGTCCATGAAAGCAACAATCTTTGTCCTATTAATTATAATAAAAATGTAACACATCATACCTCAACATGTGCTTTATTCCTCAATGTAATCACCATCCTGCTGGACGCATTTTTCCCAAAGCTGGATCAGGGAGAAGATACCCTCCCTGAAGAATTTTTCGTCAAGGGATTTCAACCGATCTTTCATGCACGGCTTCCACGAGTTCTTCGTCGTCTGTGAATCCCTGTCTAGAAATATGGTGTTTCATTGGTCCAAAAAGGTGATAAACTGACGGGGCCAAGTCAGGACTGTGAGGGGGGGGTATGGCAGAACTTCCCTGCCAAACCTATGGATCCAGTCTTTTGTAGCGTTTGTGGGGTGTGGCATTGCCTTGTCATGCTGCAAAATGACCCTGCTGGACAACCAGTCTGTTCTTTATCGGCGCACAACTTCTCTCAACTTATCAAGAGTCTGGCAGTATCTATTAGCATTACCAGTTTGTCCTGGTTCCAAAATGTCAAGAAGCAGAACACCCTTAGCATCCCAGAAAACAGTGGCCATGAGTTTCTTCACCGATGGCTGAACTTTAAACTTTTTTAGGGAAGGTGAAGACGTGTGCTTCCTTACCATTAAATCCCTCTTCGTCTCAGGGGTCATGGGGTGTATTCAAGTCTCATCACCAGTAATAATGCTTCTCAGGAATGCTTCATCGTATTGTTGGAGGTCTCCAGATGCGTTAATGACACCCGTGACAGCTTTAGCGACAACGATTCAACAAAGTCTGAGACACTTCAACACGTTGCGTCTTGTGGTCTGCTGTCAGCTCTTTTGGGACCAATCGAGCAGAGACCTTTCGATAGTGCAGCCCATCAAACACTATCCAATATGGACAGTCAACTTTAAAATGTTTAGCGATTCGGAAATTTCACGAATTTTTAGGCGCCTGTCTGTCTTAATGAGTTCGTTAACGCGACTTTTGTTGTCCTGTCTTGGCAGAAAAACAAGGTCCTGGGTGAACTTTGTCCTTGACATCCGTATTCCCGGCTTTGAACTTACTACACCACTCATACCTGCGACTTTGTCTTTATTTTCTCCCCGTAAACTGACTTTATTTCAGTTTGTATTTCTATAGGTTTGAGACCTTTAGCAGTCAGAAACCGACTGACAGACCTCACTTCTACCCTTGACCAATTTTCCAAGGGGGTAGCCATCTTTGGAGAACCGCTGTGTTCGTTTGTTTTGTGCGATGTTCATGGTGCTCAATCGGGAAATTCCTAAATGATTGTTTTACAAGTGTGCGTTTACAGAAGGTGAAAATATTGAATAGTTTTCAAATTACAGCCAAATTTCCGTTTTCCAGTGGGACAGCCCTCGTACAATGTAGCAGTTATGGTAAGGATTTTGTTCAGTTTTGTCTTGTCCTTGGGAAGCCCCACTGTGGCTAGTGACACTGTCAAATTTCCTTCTTTTTGTGTTTGAATTAGTCTCTTTACCACTTTATCTGAAGCTACTGCCTTACATTGTCTGTACCAGTTTGTCTCTTTGGGCAAATCAGTGTGTTATATATGTATTTGCTGTTGGAAATTCAGAAATATACCCAAAATATTGTTTGAATAAACTAAGTTCTGGGTTCTTAAAATTGTTTTGTGATTATGTATGCATATCATCAGTTTCTGTTTGCATATTTTTTAAAGATTACTTTTTGTGTTGAAATTTTTTTATAAAAGTGTATCGAATGGTGCGGTGGGCAGTTAAGAATATATTTATATGCACATGCATAAATGTTATGAAATTAAGTAGTAAAACAAGCGTTGATTTGTTAGAGGAGGCGTCGTTTTCATAATGCCACAATGGCTTTATGGCTGTGATCATATACAGTGGTTATGGCTGAACTAAGCACAATATTTTTCTCTTTTTATCTCTATCCTCTAAGGTCCTTCTGAATGCCACGGCCCTTTTAGAGATCAAGTTCTTTTTGTACAGTATATTTGCACAATGATTTTGATTTCTGTATTTCTCTGCCATGATAATTTAGTCCCTACCATCGGCAATATTTATGTCATCAATTCACTGCAACAAATCAGTCATGAAGGCCAATCATGTCGCTTTGGGGGAAAAATGTTTTCCTCAGTGATGTTATGTGCAATTTACTCTGCGGTACTGTCGTCTGTGTCAAGTGCAAGCAATATGTCAAGTGTGTATTATGTTAAGAGTGTACAGGAGAAATTTTCAAGCGATGGGATCGCCTGGCTTAGGCAAGATGGAAATGAGTTCCCATAGAATTTAGCTATTGTATTATTGGCTGTAGTAAATGTAGCCTTTACATGAAGTCATTGTGCAACCTTTCCACCTCGCATTTCTGAAGTTGACTATTAATAAAAGTGGATTTTAGTCATAGCTCATGCTGAATTACATCCAAAATTGTTGTCCTTTGTAACATAATTTCCCCAAAATATGTCTGAATTTGGTATTATTGTATAATTATTGTTGTTGTTAACTTCACTGTTTGATAGTTTTGAAAGTGAAATTCGCCTATAGGCCTAATGTATATGTTATGAGAATGGGGGATGGGGTAATGAATAAGTGTTTATTCTCAAACGGACATGAAAAAAAACATGAAATATATATCGGCTCCAAGGCTAGAACAATATCATCAAATTATTCTTTGCCTTAATTAATGTTGAACCATTTTATATCATACCTGCATCATGGTTTGACTCATTAATCTGTCAAGAACTGAACAATATTCATGAATGTCAGTAACCTGTAATGTTTATGTCATAACCTTTATTGCTGTGAAAAAAGTTATTGTAAATTCTGTTTTCAAGAAATCTTTTCTCAGAAAAGGGCCCAATAATTTTGAACTATGTGGAGCAATTTAATAGATTTTACCAGCTTAATTAATCTGTCTGCATTTTGCTTTATAAACCCTCAAAGTATTTTGCCTTCTTACACTGCAGTGCATGTGATACATTATTTATTACTTTTTCCTAGCTTCTGTAGCATCAAGTAAAATAAATCATGACTTGATACTGATGTGTTTTCATTCGTTTGAATTTTTATTACACTTTTGTCAGTTCTTTTTTAAATTCGTTTAATTTTTCTTTTTTGTGCTGTGGGTCATTGGTGGGCACTCTGGTGTGATTTGTGTCTTCTTTCCTATCAAACAGCTATCATCCTTATCTTTCAACCTTTTCTGCGTATGTTATACTGTAGATACTTTTCTAATCTTCGGCACTTATATTTGACCTCTTTGTGTTGCAAGTATTGTAATGCGTTTACTTAAACTAAAAACTAACTTTATGTGCTGTGAGAAGGTTATACATGATGTATGTAACTCTACTCCCACCTAGAGGTTTTTGCTTTACCCCCTTATCGCTCCCCCTCCCTCTCTCCACCCCTCTCTCCACACACACAAATGCAGATAACAAACACACGCCCCCCCCCCCAAGACACATACACTCACACCCCCAACACACACACATTCACATACATAAACAGGGAGAGAGGGAGTGATATATATACTGTATATATATTATATATCTCCCCCTATTTTCCCTGTCAATTCTCATACATTGTAGCCTACCTAGAAAGTGTCATCAACAAACCACGAAGAACTTGTGTGGATTTCAAGGTGATAAACCAGGATTGTTCGATCAAACCTTTATTAGTAAGTATCCTGCTAAAGATCTTAAAGTTTTAAGGTTTGAGTAAGTGAACACCAGAGCTATGAACACCAGATTATGATAACAAAAAATTGTATTCCTCACTATTTACCGATTGTCGCAATCTTAAGCTTTTTATGGATCGTACAATTGCGCAATGAAGATTGCGATAACATTTTATACTTTTGAAATATTTTTTTAAAAATTCACTTCCTTCTTTTTTCTTTTACCCACATCAAGGAATATTCAGATCAAAAGTGTAAAAATATGAAAACTAAAATGAACTTTTTAAACTGAAGAGCTCCCAAGAATGATACAATGCCAGGTATCGAACTCAAAGTTCATAAAGTACATTTAATTTATTTGAAATAATTTTTTTTTAAATTCACTCCCATCTTTATTTTTTTACTCACTTTTAGGAACATTCACATGTTATATTTTCAAAAGTGTAAAAATCTTAAAATTAAAATTAACATATATATGAAACTGAAGAGCTCACAAGAATGATACAATTATAGGATCGTCAAAACACGCTGTGCAAGATTGCGCTATTGGTAAATAGCGTGGGACGTATGTATTATCATTATACATTGTAGTAGTATTAATAATAATGGTGATACATCTAATGGGTTTCCTTCACTCCCTCAATCCATCTTTTGCGTGGTCTACCTCTTCCTTTTACTTAATGTCCAGGTCTGGCACTGGTATCAAAATGTTGGCATAGGGCCTGAATATAGAATTGATAAGCTGTCTCTTTGTGTCTATGGAGATGTTTTGGATGAGATAGAAGGGGTGCGAGCTGGCCGGTGTAGGTCTTGGCCTTTCGAGTTCGTATTTCTTTGTCTATGGACCCATTTTCAGAAAATGTCCTGCCAAGATATTTAAACTCCTTCGCTCGTTTCAGTTGTTTACTATTGTATGGATGTACAGGGAACTAGGGCTTGTTGTTTTGGATGAATAAAACATAACGGTCGTCTTCAAGCAGAAGTTCATTTAATTTGAGGTTTTCTAGGCTTTGCTTTGCGTTATTCTGTCCAGATACATGTATAAAAAGGTGGGGAGATAAAATGCATCCTTGTCATACTCAAAGATCTTCCTTTGAACCAGTCTCTTTTGCCTTTCTTTGTTCTGACTGAGCTTCCCTCCTTTTTGAGTGCGAACGTGCGTGCGTGCGTGCGTGTGTGTGTGTGAGTGTGTGTGTGTGTGTGTATGTGTGTGTGAGTGTTACTCTCTATAAGTAATGTCTCTAATCTTCAGCACTTGTATAACGCATATTATTATTTGTGTTGCCAGTGTTGTAACATTCTTACTAGAACTTAACCTGAAGACTTTAACTTTAACATCACAGAGGAACTTTTTGATAGAGCAAACACATTTTTAAAAGATGGAAAAGGAAGTTACACAAAGTAGATGGGCGATTGATCGAATAAACATTTAGAACATTAAAGATCAGCCTGAGTACACTACAATCAAAAAGGCATTGGCACGGAATGTGCAGTCAGGAACAAGGATAGATCTACATTAATTTTCTATTTTTTCCCCAAATCAAATTCACGTGTGAACATGACACTTTTTGGGTCCAAGAGAAAACCAGAGACTTCAGAATGAAATGTTTAAGACATGACATTATCATTATAATTTGGTAGCGTTATATAGACTATTGAAATTATGAAACATGGTAAGAAAAATGAAACAAAGGACCAGTTCAACAGCTAACTAGACGATATTATAGGAATATCTAGCCAGAGATAATAATTTCAAAATCCTTATGAGTGTCTTACGGGGCTACGTATGTACGTTCCAAACTGCCGGTTCGGAATGGAAAGGCAAACCTGGCGGCAGAACCGCAGATGAGGATGAAAACTGCTAATAAAAAGTTAAACCGGGAGGCCGAACCGGCGGTTTCAATATGTTTGGATTTTCTGACTACAGTTCAGCACGTTCCGTCGACGACAGCCTTTGTGTGACGTCACAGGCTTAGCCGGCTTATCTTGTCACTGCCAATATCTTCCAAACGATTTACCGCACATAAAATCTGAGTACATTCTTTAAACAAGCGACCCAATTTTAAGACAACATTTGAACAGAATTTGTGTTTTTTCAATAACTAAAGAGAGTACATTCTTTAAACAAGCGACCCAATTTTAAGACAACATTCGAACAGAATTTGTGTTTTTTCAATAACTAAAGAGATTTTTAAAATTCCCACATAATTAATGCTTTCCCTGAATGGGTTCAGTCCCTACAGGTTTGGCCTCTGCGTCACGATGTGCAGTAAAGAACACACTTGATTGTCTGCACAAGCTTCACAGCTTAACATACCAACCTCGTCTAAAGAGACTATTCTCCATTTCATTGAAATACCTATATTTCTCCCTTTTTCTTTTTCTTTGCCACGAGCTGCTCATAAGCTGCAAGCAAATCGCCATTATTAGTACACTCTGCCATTTTAAGTTAAACCGCACGTGATGTGGATGACATGCCGACCCGTCGAATAGCGGTTTTATGCGGCTGTTTCATCTTCTGTTCCCACTCCGGTTAAAACAGCCAGGTTGGAACGTACATGTCCGGCGTTTTTAAATGCAAAGATGGGAAAGGATAACAAAAGTTGTACTTTCTTTATTTGTGTCCAAGGTTTGCCCATTTCTTGGCATCTGTCTCCACCTCTCTCTGTCAAGTTCTCCTTGGTTCTCCTAAAGTCAATACCATACTGTAAATGTAAAGAGAACAGAAAAATATATTCATTTTTTAACAAACTTCAAGTTGTAACATTTCTAATAAGCAGTAGCTGGATGGTTATACAGCAACATTTCCTTGTACAGAGGGGCATCCGTCTCCCTGGTCAGCTTAGTGATGTCCATTCTGAAGAATTCCAAAAGCTGATGGTCGATGATCACACAAGTCTTTAGGTCAGCCAGCAAAGTGATCACCTGGGAGTAGATGCTGTAAGGTTTTGGGTGACGACGGTGAAGAGACAATAACAAACAGCAAAGAAACTGCCAGTACAGAGCTTCCACTTTCTGTCGTTCCTTCAGTCCATCTCGATCTGTGAAAGACACATAAAGGTAACTAATTTACACTTGGCGGCTTTTTAGTAAAGAGAAGCACACTGGCTTGATATCGATCATTTATGTAAAGAAAAGCACATTGACAGGATAAAGATTGTTTATGTAAAGAAATGCTCTAGAGATGCACATTGGCACGATAATGATCGTTAAAGTAAAGAGAAGCATACTGACACGATAATGATGGTTTGAGTAAAGAGAAGCACATAAATATATGAGATAATGATCGTTTAGTGCGGAGAAAAAGCCAGCAAGACAGATAAATACGTACATTCAGAAATATAAGAGAAGAGATAAAAGAGGTAGTAACTAGCAGTGGCACTAGCATTCTTTAACCATTCCCGTCCCCACCCCCGGCTCACACCTGGGTGTTTGGGGGGGGGGGGGAGGTTGGGTTGTTTTTTTTCACCTCTCTAGCTTCAACAGCTCAGGGTCTGCTTCGATTATCAAGGCACCCCGGAAATAGCGAGTCTCAAGGGTGTGACAAACATACAAAAGAAGTAGAGGAAAAAAGACGATAGTAAGGATTAGGAAAGAAAAAGCAGCAGTTCTCTGTTGCAGTTCAGACACAGTTATGAGCATTACATGTACATTGATGAATCAGCCCATTTACAATACTACTGTGCATAAGAACATGTCAATGTCCCCCCTTTGGGAATGTTCTAAGGACATTTCATTCAGTAGCACCGCCACAGGGGGGGGGTAATACAAATGTAAAGAAGAAGCAGGATAGACAGATAGAGTGGGAAAAAGAAGTAAGACAACCAATGCACGCTACAATACTGAGTTCAAAGTTACTGAAACCAACAAAAAAAAAAAAAAAAGCTATACGATGCTTAAGAGGAAATTACTGGAACAAAAACGTAGGCCTACCTGGCGATGTTATGCAGATAGCTTTCAACAAAACAATTTCCTCAAGAGTGAGGTTCAATTTTTTAATCCGTTTGGTCACGGAGAGGTAGAAAATTATGCTCTCGTCAAAGTCTGGAAAAAGTCCGAGGATTTCGTTAATGTTGAAAGCCAAGTTCGAGTCTTCGATCATGATGCGGTTCTTGAAGTCACAGCCACGAAAACTCGCAAGGACAAAGCAGTCAAGAAAGGATCCTGAACAAAAGAGAGAAGGTTTAAAAAAATTAATTCTTTTAGCACTCTGGGCACAATAACTGAGATAATTCAGAGGGTGCGGAACAGGATAATTCAGAGAGGGACGAACTATACTTCTGAGGGTAGGGAACTGAGACTATTCAAATGGGGTGGAACTATAATTCAGAGGTAGGGGCTGCTTTCACCTTACGTGTCAGAACTAACCCGGGCTGAATAAGATGCTAGCTGACCAGATAAAAAGTTATCTCAAAGAAATGTTGATAAATATTTTGTTTATCACCCAACTGACTTCAAATTATTTGAACGAAAACAGAACGAGGATTTACACCTGGAATACATGAAGGAGCCATCTCTGACTCAGAGGTTGACGTGTAATGACCCTCCAGCCTTCATGGTCGCGAGCTGCCGTTGCTCATTTTGCTAAATCCAAGTCAGTCCATGTCTTAATGCTGTCCATACTTTGTCTACCTTTGGCTCTCAAGCTCCCCATCCTCCCTTCAAGCACCTCTTTCCCAATGGTCTGATGTCGTTTTAAGTGATGAGAGTATTGTATTTTTCTGCATTTTATTTCGTGGTCAGGTTTTAATGCTTTCCCGCTAATTCTGGCCATTCTACGCTAGTACCACATCTCAAACATCTATGAAAAAGCTAAGAACACTTTTATTTGTTCAACACTATCCTATGCCATTAGTGTGCCCATTTGTATGTGGCAACGTATGTGTGTGTGTGGGGGGGGGGGGCGTTGTATAAAAGTGTGTGTGTGTGTGTGTGTATGTGTGTGTGTGTGTGTGGTGTTGTTACATGGTATCACAAATTGCATTTTCTGTCTTTTGATTTGTCAGTTGAGGGACAGGCTATTTCAGCACTGCACAGAGCTTACAGCATGCTAGCATTTGGGCACTATATAAATTCCCGTAAATGATATTATTATTATTATTATTATTATTATTATTATTATTATTATTATTATTATCATTATCATTACTACTACTACTACTACTACTACTATGATTAATTGATTTATTAATTCTTATTGTTAATCACCCATGACTCACCTCGACAAAGGGTAACTCTGTCGTCTTTACACAGGTCCCGAAATCCCGGCACATTCTTGATGAAGCGGACAGTCTTAAAAAGGATATCATCGGTGACCTTCACAGACAACTCCATCCACTTTTTACGACCATCGATGTCCACACCCGTGCTCTCCAGGATCTTGTAGTACTCCTCTCTATACCGATGCAACGTTTTCTTGCCAAACACGCGCTCCTTGAGGCGACAAACTTTCTGTGGAATCCCCCGACAAATTTTGATAAAGCAAAAAACGTCAAACAAACAAAACAAACAACTCCCAAAAAACCAACCCAAACATAAGTTATTCTTTGGAGGATCTATTCTTTATTTATTCACTTCATTTGGTCTATTTGAGGTACTTCTTGGTTCGCCAATTCTCATCAGCGATGTCACCCAAGTCAGTTGAAGTTTGGAATACTTAATTTATAGCTCATTTTTCCCCGAATATGTTACAGAAAAGGCTACTTAGGTTATTTAGCATTTATCCCCCCCCCCCCCCCAAAAAAAATTCTTTGGATTTTCCTCCTCTCCTTTTCGCCTTCCTATTTCTTCTTTTCATTGCTCTATAATATTTTTTTACAAATAACACAGAAGAACCCCTCGCGACAGTAGGCCTACAAGTAATGGATCTTAAAGAATTGAATAAATTAGTCTCGCTTTCCCATCTTTCTCATTCAGGTCAGCCTTGACTCTATGTTCAATGAAAGTACACCAGTGCATATAGGGTATCTTTGGGAAGAAGTCTTAAGTTATGCTAAGGAATTTCTGTTAAATGGATTGGCCTATCATGTGAGTTTCTGATAGGCCTATCGTGTAATTCTGGATCTATAAACTGTCAATCTATTCGATGTGCTGAAACTTTTTTTTGGCTCACTTCGTCGCATTCTGCATTCAGTAGGCCTAGACTCTCTAACTGTATGTATCTCATTAAATTTTGTTTAATTTTGTCTCTGTGTTCAACAACATTATAAAATGTGCATTCTAAATTATAGGTTGTAATAGATAACGTATTTTGGACAACTGTGACATAGGAATTCTTGTGAAATTTCACCTACATAATTCTTGTCTAGTTCTATGCAATTCGTTGGATCTAGATTCTCTGTTTTGTGTTCATTTAAGAAAAGGTGAATTACCCAAATAAGATTTTTAAGGGGAGCGTTTGACCATGCCACACGCAGGCCTATCCCAAATAAGGTAAGCCAGGAGGGAGAGGGTGGGGGTGGGGTGGGAGTGGTGGTTATTTGGACTCAACAATGGCCTGAATAAGATCACCCATATTTTATTGACGATGATTACAAAGTTTAGAACTAGGAGATATCTAAATTGTGTCGATGGGGGTGTAAAAACACCTGTACATTTTAAATTAAAGGACTGAGAGGCACCGCAGTGATTTTGCTTCTACCCCCACCCCCCCCCCCCAAAAAAAAAATTTTTTTTTAATTATTTAAAAAAATTATGAAAGCCAAAATACATAGGAAACTGGTTACTTCAGCACAAATAACGGCACGTGGACGTCTGTTTTCACTACAACAATATCGGTACCAAGAAACTCCCTTTGTTTATTTCTCTGTCATGTCATTCAATTAGCAAACACCCCCCAGGCTGTTCCACGCCAGCTCGCGTCAGCTTCTGTGGTAATGTTTTAAGGCTCATTTCCTGCCACTCAAAAGACATGCGTTCTCTTCATACGATGAGATATTTTATAATGAGTACCTCCATAATAATGTTAGCTGGGATCCGCAAAACCCAGTCCGAACCCTACGCCAACAGCAAGGCTGAAGCAGCAAGTCTGCAATTTTTAATTACATGTAGTATAAATAATGGTGTAAATATTTATAGATTATTTATAACATATTATTATCATTACCATCCTCACCTTGTAGATCTCTGTCTTTTCTGCTATCTCCTCCGGGCTAACACAGTTCAAATCCTTGCCAATGTGCTTTTTGTGGGCCTCCATAAGCATGAAGGTCAAATCATCAAGATGACTTTCAGAGAATTCACACCACGGCAAGGGTTTCTTGAACTCAGCATTGCACAATCTCTGCGCTGCTGATCTCGCTGGCTTCGGTTGTGGAAGTGAAGGGGAGGAGGAAGAGGGTGACCCAGAACGTTGATGGTGGGTGGGGTGGAGTGACAGACTAGTGCTATATGTGGTGGACAATGGTGTTGATGACGGTAAAGGGGTTGGAGATGAAATACTGTTCGGGACAAATGTCTGGCTGGATTGACACTGAGAACCTGGCAGTATCGGTGTTGATTGACAGAAGGTTTGACGATGAGAGTCAGATTGCATGGGTGCTTGCTGACTGTTTGTGTGGAACTGAGGTCTGGATTGCATAGGTGTTTGCTGACTGATGGTATGGTACTGAGAAGTAAAATGCATGGGAGCCTGGTGACCGATGGTGTGGTACTGAGAATTCGTGGGTACTTGGTGACTGATTGTGTGAGATTGGGAATCATGCTGCAGGGATGCCTGCTTTACCACACCGCTTTCCTGGTCGGGGCTACCACTATTAACAGCTTTATTTTGAGGGCCGGAGATGCTGAGCTTGCTAAAAATCGGGCCCAGGAGTGTCATCTCATAGGAATAAAGCTCGCATTTCGACAGGTCTTCTGAGAGACTGAGCATCTCATCATAACTGTCGTCACTCCGGCGGATAGCCTCCGCGCACCACTGCTCCAGGTTCCCAACAGGCTGATCAGTATTCGGGGTTTGACTGTCCACATTTTGTACATTTTCTATCGGAACACTGGCGTTGGTGTTCCCGCCAATCTGTTCTGGGATGTCAAAATCAAGGTCACAGAAATTCTTCTCCACCTCGTCAGCAAGAGCGCAAAATGTAGGAGACATAACTGACCTGTATTCTGATTTATTGATTCCAGTAGATAGTGGTGGAAATTCAAATTCATCTGGAATGAATAGGTTCGAGCCCAGGGAGAATGCGTGGTTCTTAATCCCATCAAAACTCGGCATCTCTTCCGTTTCGAGCAGAAGGGGCAGGGACAGGTCCAGATCCAAGAGACCCTCTGGTGTCAGCGAATGATTGTTGTAAAGTGGTGAGGGATGTGTGAAAGAAACAGAGAAGTCAGAGGTAAGCTGAGGAGGAGGAGGAGGAAGAGGAGGAGGAGGAGGAGGAAGAGGAGGAGGAGGAGCAGCAGCACCTGCTGCTGCTGCTGCTGCTGCTGCTGCAGGAGCAGCAGAAGAATAAAAAGAAGAAGAAGAAGAAGGAGAAGACGACATTGTGAATGAGCTACTTGGAGATTGATTTGAATAACATTGATCAGACAATGAATACGACTCTGTTTCTGTGTCACGCCCTGAGTTCATAGAAGTGTCGGTTACTATGGAAACAGGCACTGGATCAAAAGGACAAAGTTGCATAGCTATTGTACCAAAAAGGTCCGGCGAATGCTCCCCTTCAGAAGGGGTGTGAACAGGCTGTGTACTTTCTAAGTCTGGCGTAGGTAGCGCCTGAGGAGGGGGAGAAGACTCCGACCGCTCCACTGGCGTCGTTGTGCTATCAGAGGAATCTGATGTCCCTGCCCTCGGAGTGTTGTCACCTTCCTTTTTCTTTTCATTCAGTTTTCTTTTCAGAGCGCGCTTCAAGTCTTTGCTCACATAAGTGTAAGACGTAAAAGGTTGGGGGAAATCAACAGGTTCTACCAGTAGTGGCTGTGGCACAGTCTTTTTCCCTGTCTTCGTAGCCTCTGTGCCTTTGCCACTACTGCTATTTCTGGAATCTTGTTTACTATTACCAACATTCTGAGTGTTTCCATCCGACGACACTGTCAGGCTCTGTCCGTTCTGGTGTGCTAGTTTCTCCTTGGTTGACATACAACCAGACGTTTGCAGATGAGGACAATCATTTCTTGACCCCCCATAAGTCTCCACAGATTCACCGAAAGCTCCCTCTTCCGCATCATCTCCCATCCCCACCGTCGTGGTAACGCCCCTGGCTTGACTCTGACGAGAAGAACCCGTCAATCCCTCTGGCACTCTACAATCTGCACAATCGTCATCCTCTCCCAGTTCCCCGGACTCACATTCTGAGTGGTCGTCTGGCATCTGAGTAGTAGACGGTGGAGAGCCCGTCACTTTTGCTCGCAGTTCCATGACTTCCAGAAAGTCCTTTGACTTCTTCTCGTATGAGTACCGTCCTGTTTTGATAGCTGTGGGCAAATAAATGTTAAATTAATAAAGAGAATAACGTCTTGTTTTAATGGCTGGGGGCAAGTAATGTTAAATGAATAAAATGAATAGCGTCTTGTTTTGATAGCTGTGGGCAAATAACAAATAAATATAATTTATAACGACCAATGGGCACAATAAATGTCAAATGAATATAGAAATCTAAAGAAAAATGTCCAGTTTTGATAGCTGTTAGGGAAAAAATGTCAAATGAATGTAACGAATAATGTCCGTTTTTTTCTTAGCAGTGGGAACAATAAATGTCAAATGCATCCTTGTTTGATAGCTGATGGCACAATAAATGTGTCAAAATGAATACTGAAACGTCCTTCCTCGACAGTTATGGGCAAATAAATATATATGAAAACGAAATACTCAATATTGTTATGTTTTGATTAAAGTGGACACAATAAATTCTCAAAAGAATTATGATTTTAAAAAACAACAACGACATGGACCAATATTGGTCAAGAAGGTATAATATAAAATGTTTTTGGAGCACATCGACACAATAGCAGTTATCCGCTACTATAAATAGAGTCCAGTGTTGAAGAGAGAGAGAGAGAGAGAAAG